AAAAAAAAAAAAAAAAAAAAAAAAAAAAAAAAAAAAAAAAAAAAAAAAAAATTGCAACATCACGTTGGAGACCAGATAGTCGTGTACCAAGCAGAAAGCACAATGCATCGAGAGACAAGCCAAATAGGAGCAGTACAATGAACTCAAATGTCAATGTCCACACTCTCTCGCCATACCAACACTGTATTCAACGTCGCTCTTCTCGATTGGCGCTCAGCACCCTGCCTATCCTACTCAGCTCTATACTAGCCTACACTACGTATGTGCAACAGGAGTCACTTCCAGCCGAAGACCAATGTACGTGACAATGTCGCCAATGCAGACTGCCAGCATACACCAGGTACGCGTCTCTTCTTCCCTCTGCCTCACCCTTTTCTTCCCACAGTGTGCATCCCCGACACCCGAAGACCACCATCACCATCACCGGCACACACGCAAGCAGCCCGGCTATGGCCACAGCAGCGCCCCTCTCACCTCTAGCGCCCGTGTGCGCCCTCTGGCTCGCCAGCGCCCAGGCAGCCTGTCTGCTCACAATGCAGCACCGTGGCCGCCCAGCAGCGCAAGGCCAGAATGTGTCTCTGGCTGAGCTCTCGCTTTCCTTTATGGGAAGTGAGTGCTGCTCCGGCCAGTCCCTGGGCCTGGTCGTCGAGCACCCAGAAGCTTCATTTCGGGCCAAAGTGTCCGCGCCCAGGCCCGTTCAGACAGTGGCCTGGGCCCGCAGCAGTTAGGTGCACCCAACTACCCACGTAGGCTGTGACGTGTTCCCTGCTTGCTAATTGGCCGAGAGGCCGGCTTCCACGTCCAAGCATAGAAGAAGGCTCTCGGAAGATTCTGATGCTCACAAGCAGGGCCTTAGCAACCAAGTGGCGCGTGGTAACTGTCTGGTGCCCCACAATGCAGAAATGTCAAAAGTGGGGCCCCATGTCGAATTGAGGCCCGCCCTCACTTACGGCGGCAGCGTGCTTGCTGGGTGCCCCTTGGGTAGTGGCAGGCCGAGGCAGATCGGCCTTTGGGCTCATTCCTCACACAGGAGACCTCTAAATGTATCTCAGCAGACACCTGATGTAGCTCGGCTAAGCTGTCCTAGCTGGGTGTGATAACAATTAGAGAAACTACAAGTGGATTCAACATACATGCAAGTACACAAAAATGTACAAAGTCACATGTTGACTCGTTGGAGGTTATCTGACAACATGACTGCAGATTCTTATGACTGCACTTTACCAGTAAAACCGATCGCAAAGAGGTTGCCTGTCCGTCAATGATGGAGGTACCTTCATGGTCTGTATGTTTGAGCTATGCCATCACGTCAAAGAGGTTGACATGATGAAAAAGCCTTTTTTTTTTTCTTTTTTTTTTTTTTAAAGATGCTCCAATCTATTCGTGGGGAGCAGCACGTGCTGGGAAACGGGCCCAGCGTCCCTTATACTTGGAATACATTGATGATTGATGAAATTTGGGATGATTCGGGAATACTTCAGGAT